TTACTGTAGTACCTCGTTTACCTGAACTAATCGAGTAGAAGTCGATGTTCTGATAATAAAGTGGTTATGAGTAATTAACATATTATACTAGATTGGTATTGATTTGTACACAGGGCTGAGTAAAAGATGGTATCTCAAAGGGTCAATAGTAAATAGATACTTTATTTTAGATCATGCATGTATTTTTGAAAAAGAAAATATTTTATATGTTCGAAAGAATGTACATACCCCTTTAAAAATAAAATACTTCATTTCTTGTAACAAATTTTTCAGATAATATTTCAAATAGTATTTTATTTGAAAAAACATCGAAAATATTTGTGCCATAAATAAAATAATTTTATTTTACCGAATCATAGTGCAAAATTTATTTTGGTAATCTAAAATACGAACGAAGTACTTTTCCTTTGCATTATAAACGTACGTAAAAGATGCACTTTGTTATATGAGAATAGCTGTATTTAAAAGTTTGCACTTGCAAACATAATTTTTTATGTTACCTTGTTTCACGTTACGTTGATAATTTTCACGATTTATTTTCAGATTAAGAGTCGTGGGAAATATTCTATTTTATGTTTTATGTTATTAGAATAAAAACTGTTTCATTTTATGTTTTAGATTATCAAAATAAAATATTTTATCTACTCAAAAGTTATGTCCTACTTGTCCTATGAATATTACCCAGCTTTGCTTAGGCTTGCAAGAATGTTGTAGATAAAAATAAAGTATTAATTCCAATTTCATTCATAAGCCACATACGTAAACCCTTAATGCGTTTCGTACGTAAACAATTCAATCTAAAACGATCCAACAAGATCTATTGTACAAACAGAGTTGGATAACACCCTAATATGTATAATCATTTTCAGTTGCGACAACAAATAACCGTACAAGTGCATCACAATGATCAATAGAATGTTAAATCGAATACATCTTATATCGATCAGAATTGCACTTAATAATGCTGGCGGAAACAGGTTATTGTTAATAATGAACGTGCGCCTATTTTTTGCAGCGCTGTACTCAATACTTGTACAGTTTCATTCCAGTGGGAAACCGAGTTGTTTACGTCCATCATTTTGCATCGTTTAACGCGAATAATTTGCTGCCCAGTTTGAAGTAAATGAAATGTATCTGCACCTTACGCATGTAAAGTGGTCGTTTACTCTTGGATAACGTGTAAAATATGAATGCAGTATACGTTTTCCTGCCTTAATTTCGTTTGCTTTCTACGCGTATTAATCACTCCTCGTATTGCTGAACGAGTTATTATCTCAAGGGGTGGGAGACTCAAGTAAACCATTAAAATAAGAATGATTGTCGACAGTACTTTTATAACGTAAAACATTGATGAAACTTTTCGTCACATTCCATACACATTTTTTGATATTACAAGATACAACATACATTTCTGTTTTGTTCGGTCAGTGCGCAGTCTAGCATTTTGGCGAAAAATAAAACAGGGTTTTTCATAATAGCACTACACGTCGTAAGAATCTAAATCCCGTTTAGAAAAATGCTGGTGATAAAATAATAAATATAAAATATAAATGATAGTGCGCGGCTTTGAAAAGAAAGGAGTGATTTTTGCGTAAAATTTNAAGTGGTTATGAGTAATTAACATATTATACTAGATTGGTATTGATTTGTACACAGGGCTGAGTAAAAGATGGTATCTCAAAGGGTCAATAGTAAATAGATACTTTATTTTAGATCATGCATGTATTTTTGAAAAAGAAAATATTTTATATGTTCGAAAGAATGTACATACCCCTTTAAAAATAAAATACTTCATTTCTTGTAACAAATTTTTCAGATAATATTTCAAATAGTATTTTATTTGAAAAAACATCGAAAATATTTGTGCCATAAATAAAATAATTTTATTTTACCGAATCATAGTGCAAAATTTATTTTGGTAATCTAAAATACGAACGAAGTACTTTTCCTTTGCATTATAAACGTACGTAAAAGATGCACTTTGTTATATGCGAATAGCTGTATTTAAAAGTTTGCACTTGCAAACATAATTTTTTATGTTACCTTGTTTCACGTTACGTTGATAATTTTCACGATTTATTTTCAGATTAAGAGTCGTGGGAAATATTCTATTTTATGTTTTATGTTATTAGAATAAAAACTGTTTCATTTTATGTTTTAGATTATCAAAATAAAATATTTTATCTACTCAAAAGTTATGTCCTACTTGTCCTATGAATATTACCCAGCTTTGCTTAGGCTTGCAAGAATGTTGTAGATAAAAATAAAGTATTAATTCCAATTTCATTCATAAGCCACATACGTAAACCCTTAATGCGTTTCGTACGTAAACAATTCAATCTAAAACGATCCAACAAGATCTATTGTACAAACAGAGTTGGATAACACCCTAATATGTATAATCATTTTCAGTTGCGACAACAAATAACCGTACAAGTGCATCACAATGATCAATAGAATGTTAAATCGAATACATCTTATATCGATCAGAATTGCACTTAATAATGCTGGCGGAAACAGGTTATTGTTAATAATGAACGTGCGCCTATTTTTTGCAGCGCTGTACTCAATACTTGTACAGTTTCATTCCAGTGGGAAACCGAGTTGTTTACGTCCATCATTTTGCATCGTTTAACGCGAATAATTTGCTGCCCAGTTTGAAGTAAATGAAATGTATCTGCACCTTACGCATGTAAAGTGGTCGTTTACTCTTGGATAACGTGTAAAATATGAATGCAGTATACGTTTTCCTGCCTTAATTTCGTTTGCTTTCTACGCGTATTAATCACTCCTCGTATTGCTGAACGAGTTATTATCTCAAGGGGTGGGAGACTCAAGTAAACCATTAAAATAAGAATGATTGTCGACAGTACTTTTATAACGTAAAACATTGATGAAACTTTTCGTCACATTCCATACACATTTTTTGATATTACAAGATACAACATACATTTCTGTTTTGTTCGGTCAGTGCGCAGTCTAGCATTTTGGCGAAAAATAAAACAGGGTTTTTCATAATAGCACTACACGTCGTAAGAATCTAAATCCCGTTTAGAAAAATGCTGGTGATAAAATAATAAATATAAAATATAAATGATAGTGCGCGGCTTTGAAAAGAAAGGAGTGATTTTTGCGTAAAATTTTTATGTTAATCAAGCAATAAACGTAGTTTGATTAATTAATATTACAAATTAAGCAAGTTCGTACAATGAAGAACTTAGTTATATTGTACCATATACATGTTTTGAATCAGCTCAGTCGATTAATTATTTTTTGATTTATGCTGCACGCCAATTTGAAAAGTGCGGTTTTGAGAAAAACAGGTTAAAATTTTTATTTCAGAAAAGCTAGTATTTTTGGCAACCTACTTTTGTTTAATCGATTGTACTGACACAAAGCATGTATACAGGGTGTTCACGATCACTCTAGTCGATGTTTTTCTTTGCAAATAGTAAACATTAAAAAAACATGAAAGAGCAACAAGTTACACGTTCTTTGCAAGCAATGTAATCGTGTGTGTAATTTTTTTGATCTGCATTAATGTTTTTTATAAATGTAACGCTACGTATTTTGTCTATCATACGAAAGCGCGTGCCAAAACGAATACATTCGCATACGACATAATGATCTTCAAGGTTACACAAGCTCAAGTGGAAGCATTTATGCACGAAGCAATCATATTGAACATGTACTTGAGTCGAGGCTACAGTAAATGTTCAATATTCAAGTAACAAAGAAATATTCAACATGATTTCTTCGTCCCTGAATGCTTTCATTTGACCTTGCGTGTGACCTTAAAGGTTTCGAATGGATTCAATTCGGCACACGCTTTTATTTGACATAAAAAAATACGTAGCATTTCATTTAAAAAATTGAAGATCACTTCTATTGCTAAGAAAATAACGCAGCAAACAAAAATTACAGATATACCATTACACTGATTGCGAAAACAGTACAACTTCCTTCTGTTTTATATTTTTTCTAATATTTACAAACTGTAAGAAAAACGCTGGTGAATACCTCATATATACAGATTGTCCCATTTAAGTTGGGATTGTAAAAAAATGTATAGACACGTGATTTAAAAAAAAAAAAACCGACACATGTCCTTTAGTATTTCTAGTGAGGAGTTTCGAGTGAGCACTTTTTAATGCGTGGGCATTTTTAAAGTTATTTCAAGGTCATCTTGTCTTTTTTATCATAAAGCCATGTTTTTTATTTCGAAATCATATTCTATGTAAAATAATGCACAACTCATCGCATGAATCTGCTTGATCATAATATTAAGTATTCTAACTGTGTTTATTACATAATCGAAATACAAATTTTGCACTGCTTTGCATTCAGAGTCGCGTATTATCAATTTTGCATTTTTTCGATTATGAAAAAAATTCTGTTTTATTTTTGGTTGAAATGCTGGACTGCGTGCCGATCAACATCGTTGACCGGGAGATTCATGGACCACGATATTTATTGTTTCAGTAAACGTCGATAAAATGTAACGAAAACAAAATTGTTGTATCTTGAAATGTCAAGGAATATTTATGGAAACTGACGAAAAGTTTCGTCAACATCTCACGTTGTAAAAAAATTTGCCGAGAATTATTCTTATTTTAACGATTTCCTTGAGTCTCCACCTTTAAACCTATAGAATTCGATTCAAATTTCGTATCGGTCAAGATCGAAAATCCAAGTAATTGGGTCGATAGAAATGTGTCGTCAGATTCCAAGTAAAAAGTAACTCGAATTCGAAAGCCATTACTGCCCTTTTTCTCTGGAACATAATTTCTCTTGTTCAACGCTATCTCGACTATAATTCGCCGTCTAAGAAAATTCGTTGGTCGGCATGCCGCTGTCCAGAAACATGTGACCTTAAAAAATCGCTGTACAATCTTATTGCGAGTTAAGTAAGGTTGCATTGAAAATCCTCCAACTTTCATATTCTACGAGTTGACTTCTAGAATCTAATGGTTACATTCGCGTTCTTCTTTCTGTTGCAGTGTCAGAAGCGTAATGCACAAATATCTGGAAAAGAAGAAGGAAGTAACCTTCGATAAAATATTCAATCAAATGTTTGGTGAGACATTTTTAAGTATACTTAATTTTTAGGCGTATACCGTTAACAGATCGTACCCGTTGATATCGTCGGAAATCGAGACTCTTTTCCTTGGCTACTGACTTTTTAATGACTTTCGCGCGGACATCGTAAAACTGTTATAAGAGAAATTTTAAAAGTTACTGCGTAAAAATTAATGCCATCAATTTACATGATTTTTATTAGGAATTTATTAGGAGAATATTAATTAGATCGCGGATTTTATGGACTTATGGCAGAAGCGAGTAACCGAAATATAAAGTTATAAAGACACATCAGAAGAATTTAATAATACTGTATTTTGAACTTACCAGAATTATTAAAAGAAACAATTAATTTTTATTATCGATAATCAATAACGACACCGAAAAGTTATCAATAACTAAACAAATTATTTGCTATCGATAATGGTTACTAATTAATCAAATTAAATATCTTTCATTATTAATGGTTATCGTAGCGAAGACAAATTTTAATCATTCGTACCGGATATTCTTGACGAAAATCATTTGAATGAACGGTGTTAATTCTTATGCGGTAGCATTGATAATTTCTCTTATAACAGTTACGACGTCTGCCTTCGAATACGAATTCGAAGAAGCACCGTATCGCGAGGAAAACTCGACGGGAATCGATTGGAAATGATCGCGCGTTGAGTTCGTGTAGAAAGCTCGTGTTAGTTTGCCATTGCCGAACACTGGATTCACGTCTATTAGCGGATCGTTTAGGAGAAATAATAGCAAGGCGGGCATGGGCAGTGAGCGCCCTTTGCCCTGGGAGAGAGTTCTGGATTACCCATGGGGGCAACGCTTCGGGGCGAATGACGTCAAAGAGATAGAAGACCGGCGATAGAAGACTGTTTATTTTGCTGTTTCTGGTGTAGAGAGTCCTTAGTAGGCTTTCGTCGCTCTCGATTCCAACGGAGCCGGGCCAGTGGCCCACAGGGCAATCTCCGGCCATGCCTGAATGCCGGCTAAGATGTGTGTCACCTCTTTCGAAAAAAAGAAAACCGACGCACAATGGGCTGAAAATGACTTTAGAAAACATCGCGAAAGAAATCAACGTTCGCGAAATTTTGTTCCACAGTGGCGGACTACGTCGGCGAAGTTTCACCAGTGTCACAAAGTGTCCATCACGATGCGATTTCTTTAAGTTTATTATTGCTTTATTTGGTCAAAATTTTGTCATTTGTCCGCAGTCCGCACTGTGACAGAGCAATCTCCGACCGTTCCCGAATGCCGACAAAGATGCGTGCCATCTCTTTCGGTAATTCGCGAAATTTTGTTCTGCTGGTTTGAGTGAAATCAAGGATAAAAAATAACAGTTACGTATTTGAAAAATTTTGATAATGAAAATCAGCAATAAAATCGCGAAACGCAAAATTATTCGAAATATCACATGATTATTAAGATTTCAGTTTTCGGTTGGAAATAACAATTACAATCTATTATTATTTATTATTATTGATAACGGAAATTTCATTTCGGTGATTTAGAATAATTTTCGACGGAGAATATACGGGTTTGGTACAACGAGAAACAATATCAATATTATAACATTTAATTTTCTTATATTTTCATTTTTTATCAAGATATGAAGGTCGCCTTCAATCGTCCACGATGTAGGCCCTACATGCTTGACATCGTTTGTAATGAATAACGCTTTGAACATTTCTTGTATTAAAAATCAACTAAAGATAACTTCTTATTCTGCATTTAACGGACTTTCAAATAACGTAATTAAATGTTGCACATTATAGTTAAAAGACTAAAGGTGACTCTCGTATTTTGATAAGAAAGAAAAATGGCAAGAAATGAATTATTGTCGTGTGTGCTCCTCTTTACACTAAACAACTTTCGTTCGAAATATTTTTTTTATAGGTGAAAGAGTTAAATGACTCACGCTGTATATTCCAGTTATTTATAACGGTTATCGGCGAGGGAAATTCTGTTTTAGTTACTCATAGTAGTTATCAGTGACAGAAACTTTAATGTCGGTTATCAATAACGGGTATCGGCGAGGAAAAATTTGAATCGTTCATACAACTTATCGATAAAAGAAACTGTGTTTTATAATGCGGTAGCGAATTGTTTCGCGTTCGACCAAAACGATTTTCACTATCCACACCAAAGCAGAATAATCGTTGCTTCGAGAAACGAGAAAATAAGGAGAGACACAATATTATGTTAACATATGTACACGCGTTGCTGCGTATTAACTAGATGCGAAATAGCAAGGACATTTATACAATTTCGAAATATTGTATTACTGTCAACTCATTAGAATGATTAAGAAAATAAATAAATGTCTATGTAATTTTTATATCTTGTAATTAATGAAAACAAGTTTTATTTTGCATAAAAATCTGTAGTCTAATAATGTTGTTAAATGGAAACCATTTACTACAGATATACTGTTTTTTTTCATAAAAACCAATTATTTTGAATGTTCTTCATTTTACTTTATTTACTCTAAATATTAAATTTAGATCATTGTACGATGTTGTCTACTGTTGCATAGTCCGCGTCCTCCGGCGACAAGAAGACACCTTTCTGTTTATATTTCCTTCTTACTAGCTGCTCTACTGCCGAAGTTATTGGTCATTATTAATCGCCGTCGATCTTCGTCACCGTTTTCAGTCAATAGCGATCAATAGCTCCGACAGTGGGCGGCTAGTAAGAGGGGGAATGTAAACACAAAGATGCCTTCTTGTCACGTGAGGACTATAGCTTGACCGAGCAACATGAAATTCGTACTGTGTCTATTTTGGAATGAAGTGAAAGCTATCAGAAAATTGGATTAAATGAAAACGAACAAAATAATTGAATCAAATGAAAACGAACAAAATAATTGAATCAAATGAAAACGAACAAAACATTGAATCGAATGAAAACGAACAAAAAATTGGACCAAATGAAAACGAACAAAAAATTGGACCAAATGAAAGCAATCAAGAAATTGAATCAAATGAAAGCAATCAAGAAATTGAATCAAATGAAAATGATCGGAACATTTTCAAAATAAAGAACATTATTCCCTGTACTTATTAAGAACTTTATTTAACAACTCCTCTTTAGATTTGACTAGAATTTTCTCCTTCAAGCTTTTCGTTCTCGAATATATTCGGAATAAAGTTTTTGCAAGACGTTAAAGGCTTTTATTAGGCGAACATAAAGTACTTGGCCTGTAATAAAATTGCCAAGCGCACGCAAGATAATGCCCGTAATAAACTTGCCAAGCACAACGCACGCGAAATAAGTGGCATACTGCGCTGTCGTTTATGCTTTATGGTTATTTAGATTTCATATTTCACTACTATATTAGTTAATATTCTATCAACGTTCTTAGTGGTAGATAAATTAAGGATGCGTAAGAGGTGAAACGGTGTCGCCGAATAAATGGAGCATCCTGAATTTGTCTCCTGCCTTCGCACCATTTTGTTGTCAGCTAGGCTGCGGACCTTTATGCAAAATAAAATTTTTCGGATGGAAGGCGAATAATTTATTTTTTATTATTATTACAATTTAGAAATTGTCTAAGTATAATTTTCCAATTTTGTATAGTCTCATCTTCATAAATAAAATTACGGATGATCGTTCTTTAACCCTTCGCATCCGAAGCTAGTTTAATTCGAAATCCGAAAGATGTTATAACTAATCTTGGCGAAAGGTATTCAAACACCTTTTAAAATGCAATAACTTTTTTAAAACTGGACTTTTTTAAATGACCTGAATTTGTTTAAATGTTAGAGGGACTAGTTTGTTACTTGTTTGTTCGACTATTTGTTACTTGGAATGGCTAAAAACAGCATGAAGAACGAGAATTTATTGTTGTTTTTTGTGAGTTCAAACATAATGTTTTAGACATTGCACGGTAAACTAGTCTCTTCGATGTTTAAAAAAAAGTCCAACTTTGAAAATGTTATTACGTTTTAAAAGATGTTCGAATACTTTTTGCCAGGTGTCCTACATATGAAATTTAACTTATTTATTGTACTTGCATTTTTAACAGTTTTATGAATACAAACGAACATGTGATACTGTCAGAAGTATCTTGAAACATATACAGCGATTTTTACCCTCGAAGTCGCCGTTCAAGCTCGAAGGGTTAATAGTTTGAATAAATTGAAAGTATATATAAATATCCTCAAATTCTTGCGATGTATTCACTATTCTCTGTTTCGTTTACTCACATTTGCCATAAATGCATAAAATCCGCAGTTTCCTTATCAGGATCAAGCGATGGTGTCTGTATTAAAATGGGAGTTTATTGAAATATTTCACTGTTCTGTTACTTATCAGTCTACAGTGAGATATCAGTTTCTTTTTTCAACAAAATTGTTATTTCCAGACCGTGGATTTGATGCATTTATAACAAAAAGAAGTAGATCAAATGCAAACCAATCATTTGAAGAATTTGAAAATCCTGTTGCATTATTTTCAATGAATCAAGATGGTTAAGACATGAACGAATGCCCACGCAGCTTTTAGATTTTGCAACTCATATAATCCTTATTTTACATAAAGATCCGCAAGTCTATTGAATTCCTCAATTATTTCCTCGTTTCCTTGAAACGAATAATACATTCGAACTAACAATGAAAATTTTGATGCCGCAATCATGTAGCTTTCCGATGATAAAATTTGCGACCTCGTCGATGCTAGATAATTTTTTTGTTGTTCAACTGTTTGTCTGTTTTGAAAGTGTTATGCAATCATATCGATGAATTATTTAAATTGTTATCATTCGAATGCATACAGTCTTCAAAGGTAATCCAAGGAGAATGCATTAAAAGATTACTGAAAATGATGATGACATAGCCATTTCAACATAATGGTGTTCCACGTCTTCGAACAATCACTTTCCGAGATAAATAGTAAAAATTGTTGTCTTTATCATGGTCGAATTTAGGAATTCCGGTTCTTTGAAAACTACAATACTTTGCGGATGATTATTTATTATAGTTTAACAACTTCTAAATA